TCCTCAAGCCAAGATTTAGGTCCAAAAATCACACTTTTCAAGCTTCAAATCACTAAGGTAACTTCCCTAACTCATAGATTAGCATCTTAGACCTTCAAATTCGTGGTTAAACAATCAATTAGGACCATTTTCATGTGTTTACGGCCCTAGAACATGCTTGGGCCGTAAACACACATATGAGGGGTTTTTGAGCCTTTAAACCCTTCCAATCGACCTTTGGAGCTTAGATATAGCTATATGACTTAATATACTTGACTTAGAACACCTTGAAATGAATTTTTGGAGAGTAAACATGAGTCTACTGCCCAAGAACATGCTTGGGCCATAAACTCACCTTTATGGAGAGTAAACTCATATTTGGGTCTTGAAATGCCACTTACACACCTCATAAGCCTTGGAATAAATTCTAGAAGCAACCACCAATAAGTTAGGGACCTTAAACTCGATTAAAACAACTCCATAAGGAGTTCACGGCCGTAAACCCCTCATACACGGGTTCCTGGGCTGTAAACTCCTATAAAGGGGTTAAATGGTGCCCTAAACTCACCCCTTGACTTGTAAAAATGAGTAGAACCACTTATGAATAAATGTATGGCCTTCAAAACAAATAATGAATGTGTGGGTGAGAGTTTACGGCCGTGAAATCATAGTTTACTACCGTAAACTCACCAAATAGTCCCTATGTTTGAATTAGTCCCTTTCTAATGCCTTAGAACAAAACCTAGCATCATCCCTCAATTGGTAAAAGGCAATTTAGCATTCAAGAACCTCATCCATGAGTTTACAGCCGTAAACTCATGGGTATGAGGTGTTTAGGGCCGAAATATCTCCAAAGAGTTCACTCTTGAAGATTAAACTCCTTATCCAAACCATACATGAACATACATGTCACCCGGGTCACTCCAAACACTTGAATTGAAGTGTTTTCGCGACTAGAAATGTATATCCTCTATTAATTAGTGATTTAAATCTAATTAGATACTATTGTGTATCATTTAATATTACATAGGAATCTCGCACATTTTCAAGCCTCGATTCGACGTTTAAACATCCTAGTCGACACAGTTTCTAGTCCGGTGAGTTCATACCCATTAATAAACCTTTTAAATGTTTTTACATATTCTAGGGGGGGATACAAGTACGTTACTACATGTTTTATTATCAAATCATATGTGATTTACAATCTATCATCAAAAGGGATTACTTTACAATTTTAGATACTTGTCAATAAAACTGTTTTAACTAATTATCAAATGCGCCTTTATGGTTAAATTATTGTTAATCTATTTTCAAAACTATGTTCCAACTACTTTTCTTTTTAAAAATATATCTACATAAATATGTTTATATAAATAAGACTTCAAGGACTTAGGATCGATAGCTGGCCTTATTTCCTGTTCTTGTTTGATGTGGTTTTAGGGTATTGGTTGTCCGTCTGACTGTCGTTGAATTCTTAATAATATATTATATATATTTGTGTAGATATGAATGTTTTTATCTTATTCGTTACTACTCTTGATCAGAAGCAGGAATTCACATACTCTATTTAACTATAATAGGTATAGTTAAGACTAATACTAGTTGTCTCTACTACTACAATACATACCATAAACTGTTTATATTACAAGCTAATGCGAGTATAAGGGAACACTCTACTTACTACACTAAAAGACTATCATACTAAAGCATAAGAGAATTCACTAATACAAAGTATATCACACTATCTCTCTCTATAAGGCACTCTACTATACTTACACTGTAACGCCTGTGTTTCTGGGCTTGCCATTTTTTGCAATATAATAGTCTAGGTTAACCTTTGTAACCCGTTTTGAAATAATAGAAGTGTATTATTTGAGTATTATGTGTTTTGTGCTTAATTGCTTAATTATGTGGTTTGATTAATTAAGAATAAAAATAAGCATCAAAATTTAAGTATAAAATAAACTTGATATCTTTATATAATGTTGTAGTAATTGAAACAAGGTTTCCGATGATATAAAGAATGCTGAAATCCGAGTTATAACAAAGAAGTTATGACCTGTCGAAGTTTCGCGACAGAACCGGCAATGCTGAATGACGTAAAAAGTGCAATTTACGTTAGAGCGATATTTAGCCTTAGTGATCTAAATGAGATTCGAAGATCTCGTTGTTAGTATCAAAGCGATAAAAAGTTAGGCGAGAACGGACGTCAAACGAAGAAGTTATGAATTTATAACGAAATTTTCTGTCCCGGCTTATTAAAAATAAATAATAAAAATAAATTCAAAATTAGCCGACGGAGTCTAAACGAAAGCTGTAGAGCGTAGTCTCACCTTCGCGTGGATATAAAGAACGTCGAAAATGGAGTTCGTATGAGAAAGATATGAATTTTTTAAGTTTATTAAATAATTAATAATTAAATTTAATTATTAAATCTCGGTGTTATCCGGAGGCGAGTCACCGTACTCATCCGGAGTACGCCCTGCGTACTCGTGTACGCCCCGCGTACAGCGAAGAATGTCGACAATCGCACTCGAGGACTTCGGATGACGCATGCAGTGACGTTTCGGAGGCAGTACGCCCCGTGTACTGATGTACGCCCCGCGTACTGCGAGGCCTCATCCTCTTATAAATAGGATGTGAGGGGTCCGGGCTTATTTGCTCATTTCTCCTCCATTTCGTGCCGAAGCTCTGCATTTTAACCCCCGAAGCCCCGGTAATATTCCCGAGTCCCGAAGCAAGTCCCGAGATCCCGAAGATCCCGAGAAGTGCGGTTTCCGAGCCGAAGCTCTGCCCGCGAGAAGTTTGATTTTTGTAGAGATCTTCCAGATCTGCTGAGGATTACTACTTCTACAAGTCGTAGTATTGTCCGATCATCTTCTGATCAAGTGAGTGTGTAGTTCATTTCTTCTAAGGCATGATTATGAAGTATTTTATACAAAATACGTGTTATGTGTACAATTTTGTTGTTATGTACGTGAATGTATATTCACTCTCTTCAATCTCATAGATCTGATTTGTTTTCTATGAAATACGTGTTATGTGGGTATGTCTCATCTGTTATGTGAAATATGTATTGAATGAAAAAGCTATATAGGTTTTAAACTATGTATAAAAATATATATTGTTATCTACTAATATGTTGGGTAGAACACGGGTAGATAGTTGGTGTGTAATAAACAAATGAAAGGCCTTGATGTTGTTCTTGTTGTTGACCTAGTTATTCAACGGAGTATGGATAAGGACCACAGACTCCTTCTAGACAGTCTTGTGGAACGCTAGCAGGTTCATAACATGTAGGTGTTGTGAATGATGTGTTAACCGGTGTACTCTATCCCCCCTCATGGTTGCCATTAGGATATCTATTGTTGAGGAAACCCCCTTAGCAGTAATGTCCATCCCGATGAAAATCCTAGATTAGGTCCCTTGAGATAGATGTTGCTATAGTGACGTAAAGTGAGGATAGCGGGAATGGGTAATCGGGATAGTGATTGGTTGGTGAAATTAAATATAATGTAGTTATTGTGGGTTGAAAACCCTATATGCTCACCATGCTCCCAAGCCTGACCCACTCAGTTTTATTTGTATTACAAGAAGTTGCGCAAGGGCGTAAGATGGATGAATCATCGAGTTGTTTTGCTTACAAGTCTGTATATGTATATATTTGTTGAATGACTTGTAATGTTATCGTTTATGCTTTATGGTCTGTATCGGAACATGACATCCCGAGTTTTGATTATATAATGAAAATGCATCTCTTGATGAAATGCTTTGATAAATATTATTTTATCATGTTTTGTTTTGGGAACAAATTCCGCAACACTTTTAAATCAAAAGGATTTACTCTGAAATTATTTTAAAAAGCATAAATGAAATCGGTCTTTTCTGGCCGTGATTTTGGGGATGACACATACACCATGTCACCAGGTCTTCCCGAAAGGAAAGGAACACTATATGTATAGATCTATACGGAACTGACACTATTACATCCCGACTGATATCTACAGTCCGAGCCGACTAGGCTCAGGGGTGACACTACACTACTTCACTACGCATGACCGGGATGGTCATCGGTACTCTACTACTTCACAATTGGTCACACGAGAAGTTAAACTTACATCCAAATAAATACACTAAGACTTACAGTCTGAACTAAAATCCCGAAGTAATTAATGATCTATTACTAACTAAAGTTACAATACTACTACTATTAGCAAGCATAACTTTTCTTCAGCCGTATTACGTACATGAGATTTATTACTACACTTTTACAATGGAAAGTTTCAACAACATTACTTTTACACACTAGAAAGATTGACTTACAAATGTACTTTCTGGAAAATATAGGATTTTCTAGGGATTTCTACTACTCATAAATATAAATTTCAGTTTTTATACTATAAATTTGCAAACACTTTTATACTACAATGACACTAAATTCTTATGAACTCACCAGCTTTATGCTGATATTCGTTTTCAAAATAACTTGTATCCTCAGGTCAGAGATAGACAGGTACAGGGCAGCTTTTGGATGAAGATGGATCATATACAAGACTCATCTTTTGTTTTGTTATACTTTTGGTGTCTATCAACTTTTCAGAACACAATTGTAATTATTATCACTATATATATGAAATGGTTGTTGTTTCTTGTTTTTACTATTAAGCAATTGTAATGATACTGTACATGACGTCCTCCACCCCAGAATATATTCCGCCGTTCTCGGTTTTGGGGTGTGACATGTTCGGAAGCGGTATGATGTGCAGGTTGGGGTACTGAGGAGCCACCAGGAGCTAACGAGCTTCTTGCTTCAAAATATGTACGAAGAAAACTGGGCTCTTCATGCAACACTTGGCAATCAACATGAGCCACTTGGGTTGGTTCAATGGTTGGGGTTGGCTGTTGAACATATTGATTTTGTTCCCGAATAAGCACTCCTGACTGAGGATCAACACGTCTTCATTTAAGAGGTAGCTGAGAGGCTTGAGACTTTCCAAGATCAAACTTAGATGGAATAATGATTAGAGTGACAACTTCTCGGGGAGGAATCCTCTCAGTTGAATCCAAAAGAGAAATGACGGCATCCATTTTAGCGGATGATTGAGATGGCAGCCTGAAAATGCTTGTAACTCCCTAGTCTCAGTTGGAGAGCTCATAACTTCATTGACTTCATCAGACCCAAATAACGAACAAATATCATCATCACATAGCTCAAAATCAAACATGAAATCATCATCATTAAAACCCCTTTCGACACCCTCTTCATCAATCCTTTCTCCTTCTTCATTATCATGATCAACAACATTATGAACAGGAACATGCTCTTCTGCCATGATTGCAACGGGAGGAGTAACATCAGCAACAACTTCAGGCTCATGGATCGTAATATCTTGAGGAACAAGAGCTTCTTCTATTTCTGCAAATCTTCCAAACATCACCAAAGGGCTTGTTTCTCGGAACACAACCTTAGAACCCTTAAGATGTTGCTTTATCAATCCAAAGGTGTTTTGACCCAAGGATTTCATATCCAAAGTTTTTCCTGTTCTTTCCAAGTTCGGATATTGATCATTAAAGATAAATTGAAGAAACCTTGGGTACATCAACAATATATAATTCTTCTTCCACTGTAAGTTGCTCTTCATTTCATTGAAGGTACCTGATTGACAGATCTCATCCGCTCCTCCTTTTCTTCCTGAGATGCATATCATGAAAGTATAAGCAAGGAAGCACTAGTAAGGAGGAAACTTCTTCAATGTTAGAGGGAAGGTTCCTTCATATCCCATCTTTTCAAGAACCTCATTGATCTAAGCAGAAGGAGTTTCAGTTGGGAATCCTAGCTAATCCCCGAAGTGAAGAACTTCTTGGATGATTTCTTCAGACACAACAACCTCTCTCACATTAAAGGATTTAAATAATGATGCATAATCAAACAACAATTCAATTCCAACTCTAGCATTCGTCTCGTTCTCTTCCAACCAGCGCACGTTGAATGATTCCACAATCTTCTTGGTGGACTTGTTGTACACTCAATAAGCAGTTTGTGCAGAATATCCCACAAAGTAGAAGTCATCGGCTTTGGAGTTAAACTTGGGGTTAGGCTCCGGGTGAAGGACGGTGTAAGAACATCCAAAATTTTGAAAATGAGCAATTGTTGGCTTTTGACAATATAGAATTTCGTACATGGTCTTCATCTGCGATTTGTTGATCAGAACTCGGTTCTGAACATAATAGGCAGTATTTATAGCTTCAGCCTAGAAAAAGACTAGTAACTTGGAATCACAAAGCATCGTCCTTGCTCCGTCCATCAAAGTACGATTTCGCCACTCTGCAACACCATTTTGTTGGAGTGTCCGAGCAGTGCTGTACTGGATGCAAAATACCCTTTTCAGCACAAAAATGATCCAGAATAGCATTTTTAAATTATGTGTCATTATCAGTTTGAAGTGCTTTCACATTTTCATTGGTTTGATTCTCAATCATCACAATGAATTTCTTGATCAGATCGGCAATCCCACTCTTGTTGGATAAGAAGAAGACCCATGTAAACCGTGAATAATCAACAATGACAACCAAGCAGTAAGAATTCTTATTGATGCTGAGAACGTTGACCGGAGCGAACAAATCCATATGCAATAACTGAAGAACCTGACTGATTGAGTTGAGTAATTTTGGCTTATATGTCTTGAGATGGTGCTTTCCTTGAGCACATGCAGCACACTTCTCAAAAGTTATGAAGTCCTTAATTGGAAGACCACGCACAATTTCAGTCTTTGCAAGATGGTTGAGGTTCTTCGCGTTTATGTAGCCGAGTCGAGGATGCCAGAGCATAACATTATGTTCAGAAACCTTGGAGAAAAGACATGTAACTTGCTCGGGAATGTTATGATTCATGTCAATGCTGTAAGCATTTCCATCTCTTTTTGACCTCACTAATATCCAATCTTCTAGAATGATTATTCTGGGCTTCAGAATGAGACATTCTTTGTTCGTAAAATGAGTTGAATAGCCTTTGTCACAAATTTGAGATAAACTCAGCAGACTGTGCTTCAACTTGAGAATATAATTCACATTTTCAAAGCTGAGAACGCCATTAGTCAAAGTACCCTTTTGAGTGATCTTCCCACCTTCTCCTCCCACAAAGGAAACATAACCCCCAATGAAGTTTTGAATGTTGTGCAGTTAGGAAATATCTCATGTCATGTGCCTAGAACAGCCACTATCGACATACCAAGGTCTGATGATATTCCTCCATAGTTGTTACTGCATGATGCGTGGGATTATTTAGATACTGGAACCCATGCCATAGAAACACTAGGTTTACATTTTCTATTAACAGAATTAACTTTTTCACCTTTCATATCAGATAGATTACAAGATTCATTTAAAGGACTCTAAGGTGATTATACATATGAACTTTTGGGCACCCATTTGTAATTAGGTTTAGAAACATTAATAGGTGATTTTGAAAAAAAAAATCTTTTTTTATCATTTGGGTATCCGTCTATGACTAGATGAAGATCTAGACGATGACTTTGATGAAACCGATCTTTGCTTAACCAATTTCAGTTTCATTAAACTACCTGTTGAATTTTTGTTCAAATCTTGTTTGTCATTTTTAAGTTTAGCAACCAGATTTCAATCTTTATTAATGTTCCAATCACCATCAATTGAACGAGATCTCGAGGACTTTCTCTTAAGACATCCTCCTCATGACTCATTCCGCCTACCTTGTGCATAGTATGGAACATATACATGGTTCGGACAATTTCTTGCGATATGTCCAGCAGTTCCACAATGTAAACATGTATGTTTCTTCATATAGAAGTTGGTACCGTTTGTTCTATTGTTTCCATAGGCACACGTTCATTGTTCAGTCCGTTTGGCTGGATTAGGTGGCTTGTATTAGTTTTCAAACTAGAATTATCAGAAACTGCAACATCAATTTTCAAAGTAGTAGAAACAGAAACAGAAACATTATTGTTTAAATGAAAAACATCTTTCACATAATTAGTTTACAAATCAAAATTATTATCGAAAACACTTTTCCAGCTTCCTGTTTGCCTTGAACTAAGGATGAATCTACATATGAAGTAGGGACATTAGTATCATTCACCCTAGAGGTATTTTCTGTCACAACCACAACAGGCTTACCATACTGAAGATGTGCTTTCCTAACTATTTCTTCTTCAGTCATAAGGATGCAGGTGTAATTATGAGCAAGAGGAACACTGTCATACCCTAGACCATTTTGTTGAATATCTTTAAATTTCAATTAATTTTCAATCATGGACTCAACTTTCTTACTTGACACAACAATTTTTTTGATGTCAAAATTTGCATTTTCAAACTTATTTTTCAATGTGTCAAGCTCGTCGGTCATGTTACCAAGCTGTTTCATAACATAGTTATAATTTTCACATTTGTTGCTATATTCTTCTTGAAGTTTTCTAAAGTCCTTGGTTTTGGCCTCTAGTTGTTAATTCAAAGGTTGTTGACCCTTCCTATGGTTATAGCCTTCGTACTTAAGGTCCTCATTTTCTTTATGTAATAGATCAACTTGATCATGAAGAAATTTAACATTGTCCATGCATTTTTTAGAGCAAGAAAGTTCACTGACCTCTTTTGTTTCAGGAGTGGTGGATACCATAAAAGCAAACTACAGCTGCATCATCTCCGCCTTTGCATCTTCTTCAACATCTTGATCAGGGAACTCACTTATCTGCTCCAGATTTGCAGTCTCAGATCGTGAAATGTTCAACCTCTGAATCTGATCTTCCCAATCAAAATTCTGAGCCACCGCTGTTAGGTTTGCAATTTCACTGTTGGTAGCAGCGCCTCTATTATGCCCAACTGGCACCATCTTCCTATGATAGTTCTCTCTTCTCTTTGGCTTTGGACAACCACGAGCAAAGTGACTTGGCTTGTGACAATTGAAACGCCTCATCTTTCCTCTGTTGAACCTATCCTTCTTGACCCCATTCATACCCCAGTTGTTCTTCCCAGTCTTCTTAGCAAACTGCTTTAGCCCTGAACATAGCCATTGTAATTTTTCAGGTGATATCCATTTCTTCCACATCTTTAGATCAATTTGATCATGATCTACAAATGATATTTGAGGAGGCAAATCTCCAGCTAGGAAAGCATTGTTACAGTTCACAAGGCCAGAGGCTAAAGCCATGTTTTCTTCAGCTTCCTTGTGGATTGAGGTTGTGACACGAGCTTTTGAGGAAGCTCATTGTTGATATTTTGTGGCAGGAACTTTTGAGGAGGAGGTAGAGTGTTGATAAGACATAGTAGGTGGAATAGAATGGGTTTGTGGAACAGTGAATGCTTGAGTTTGTGGAACAGTAAATGATGAAAAAGTATTCTTTGATGAAATTACTAGATTTGTTGTGGAGTAGGAATTCACATGATTTATCTCAAGCTGCTTATCATCCAAATCACAAGCTTTGATGATAGTTATAGTCTCAGCAAGAGTAAGCCTGTGAAGATCCTTGGTCTTCTTAATCACAAAAACATTCATGTCCCATGATTTGGAAAGAGAGGTTCATAAAGCTTCTTGTTTATCTCCGAGCATGGTACAGAAATTCCAGCACTGCTCATTTTAGTTGTGAGTGTGATGAATCGTTGCATTGGGCTTCAAGAGTCTCCCCAAGAACATGGTTGGACATGTTGAACTTTTGATGCATCATCACTTGTCTACTCTATTTCATATCATCATTTCCTTCATAAACCTCTATTAAGGCTTCCTAAAGTGCCTTTGCAAAATCTTATTCTCTGAATTCTTGAGCAATGTCAGGGGATAATGCCATGGTCAAAGTTTCAAGTGCCTTTTCCAGTTCCTCGATTTTTTCAAAGTCAGCATCAGTATAGTTCTCCACTTCTTTGTCAATTATAGTACCATTTTCAAGTGTTGTGGTAATTCTAACTGGGCCCTAAGGATGCTTCTCCATATCTTAAAGTCTTTCATCTTGATGTACTTCTCAATCCTGTATTTTTATTCTGAAAACCCATCGGCTGATAGAAGTTGTGGAATTCTCGTAGTAGTTCCCATGATGGAATCCAGTTCTTGATGCAGTGCACTTTGTTGAGGTTCGATTTTTGAATTAATTATTTTTTTAATTTATTAAAAAGTAAAAACCTATCCAAAATCATGGAATGTCACACCGAAAACTCAGAAAAGTCAACAATTGAGATTTGGTTGACTGACACCACTGATTTCGACCAGGAATGAGATTTCCACCAAGAACGTGATTTCGGCCAAAAACGTGATTTCGGCTGAAAACAAGATTTTTGCGAAAAACGTGATTTCTGCTAAAAACTAACAAAACCGCTCCACCGAAAATTCACACCGAAATTGCCTAGATCTATTGAAAATAACGATTTCAAACAGATTTCCGATCCTTTTTTCCCTGGATCATTAATGAATAGCAAGAACTAAACAATAAGAGCAGCAACAACGAACAATTTGTAACAATAAACTCAAAACTATTTTCGATCAAAGCTTAAATCAATCAAAAACAATCAAAATCAGCCAAAAACAAGCTTAATCATGGTTGACACTAGATTATTTTCCCAAACTATGAACCAATTGGCGATCAATCAAAATCAAACAGTAAATGATGAATTAAGAAGAAGAAGATGCAAGATCAATTCAAATGCACACGATTGTATTTCACAGAATTGTCTGATACAAAGGATCCTACAC